GGGGGGGGGGGGCTCCTGCTTAATAAAATGTATACGATACAGTCTGAAAACACGTGAAAATTATTTGGACGAGAAACAGAAAAAAAAAAATTCGAATAATCCAAAGTTCCTCGTGAGTCTGTCAAAGAAGCCAAAAGTCATTCCCGACGAATGTCACGCTTTCTTTCGCGCAGGGATAATTGTTCCTGTTGTTGCTTTCCTGAATTATCGTAAAAGAAAAAAAAAATCTTCAATCGTCCGTGTAAAAAAATTGCGCAAGACAGTACACAGAGCAACGACACAATATCGAGATAACGATAAAGTCTGTTTGCCAGAAAGAAAACACGTGGCGCAAAGTCATCATAGACTGTTACCCCGAGTATCTTAAAGATAGCAACGAATAGGCAAAGTAGGGATATTAAAAAAATGTCTAAATCCTTGAACATCCAAAAAAAGAATATAATGCACCAGACTCACGAGAGTAACAGAGTCAATGGATACTTTGTGTTCAGTCCGTGTCACGAAAAATACATAAAACGCGTAAACAAGCACAAATAACATTATCTTGCCTCGTTTCCTAATCTACCTGAATAACAAGAATTGTACGGGCGTTTTGAGAGTGGTGCAATAACAAGAGCGTTGCTGAACGTTCGTCGCCGTGTTTGCCCTTGAACTTTCACAGCATAGCGAAGGAGACGGCCGTGTCCCGTGAGGCAATATCGTCCTATGCAAACGTGAAAACGTAACCATTGTTATTCTCGTGAGACGTGAGAAAATCGTAAAGTCTATATAACGCAAGGATATTTGGTACACAGGTATGTGGCATTTTATGGATAGGCGTAGATTTGGATATGGATTTAAAAAAATAATTAAAAATATAAAACCAAGCAACACGGGTAAAGAGCGACTATAAAAAAAAGTCCAACGGCCCTATGCAACCCTCTTTCTAAGTTTATTCTTCGTTGGCAAGGAACGTGATTCATCATGAAGCCAATCACATCGCCAAGCCCGACTGAGTCATCATCGGTACAGTTGGATGATGTCGGACGAGAAGTAGTATTGTGTACGGCGAACTGGCCTGCTAGCCTGACCGTTCATTCGTTACTGACTAGAGTATAGCTAAATGTATGAATACGTGTATATTCACCTGAGGCTCGTATACACGTATATGCGACTATAGGTAAAACTTAGTTGCTCAAGAATTAGACAAACTTTTTTTACTTGCAATGACGCACGAGAGCGATAACTGCTAGTCAATTTGTTATGCTAATTTCTCCCGACCTCGCGTTACGTAGTTTTCACTGGGTGTTTATACATATTTCTTATAGGCATCAGTTATCAGAAATGATTTAATGGTGATTTGGGGTACAGAGAGTGTACGCTTGGGAGATACATAGTGCAAAAGGTCCTGTGGTTATGGATGTAAAATGGTAAACTAGGATTTTCACGTATCGCAATCTTACGCAGTCCTTATCGTACGGGCGTCGTAAAACTTTCATGGGCTTGAACGTTGTCCTTTGTAGGTTAGGAAAATGGCGAAGGTCCATATTTTCCTTGGAGACAAATAGACTTGCGCGCACGGTGGTGCAATAGTATTTTTGTTATTTCGGAGGAGTTGAGTTCTATCAGGAATCGAGATATTTGGTTGAATTGTCAGGATCGGTAATTTGACAGAAAATTATCAAAAGGGAACGTCAACGTCGCGACGATATAAAAATAAAATATTAATCAATTTATCAATGACAAGCTGTCGATGACAATGGCACGCGAAACGTATCGTTGGTTAATTCATCTTTGATATTTTTCATTTTATCGTTAAGGGAACTACCGAGGATTTCTATGGCGGGCGAAACAGCGACAGAAGTACAAGTGTCCTTGTTCTTGAAGATGTTCATAGAAATAAATTAGGCAATGTTTTTAAGCACGTGTCTTCGCCGGCCTGACGCAAAGAGACGTCTTTTGTTCGCGAAGTTTCTGGAGAGTGCTACGGATCGTTGTGTGGTGACGGGTAGGATGGGTGAGGGGGCGAGAGAGGGCATGGAAGCGAAAAAGAAAGAAAAAAGGGGAAAAAGAGGCAAAGCCAAGGCGACTAAGGTGGAAGGAAAAGAATAAGAGTAAGAAAAAGAAGAAAAAAGCACGAGGTTCACAATGGCTTTTAATTGCCGGTCGCTATTTCCACGCCTTACAGACTTCTTCGTGAGTGTACCGTTTATTTTCACTAGGTGTGGATGACACTTAATTCTGATATCGATTGGACATCGTATCGATCGACGCGCCACGACGTAGAACGTCCAGTACGACGTTACATAATGGACAAAGAGATGAAAAAAAAAGACTAAAAAAGAACTCGATCGAGACACATATATGTATATATTTACGCGACGTGGGTTTATAATAACGAGCGTTACGACGAACGTCATAATCAAAACTGAGGGAACTGGAGAAGATTGGTTTTGGATCACTTGTTTTTCTTTTTGGAATTTCTTTCAGAGGGCTCTTGTACGGAACGTTTGTGAGATTGAAATTGAATTTTCTCCCTGCTGGACACGAGTGCCAATGGCGCACGGCTGGCGACGCTACTTCATTACGCAAATCCTGCCTAGTAACGCGTTAAAAAGGCCTAAATAGTCGAGCGCGCCCACGCGTGCCCTATAACCGGTTTAAATGAGTCCTTAAAGCGCGCGATTAATATTTTCCAATTTCGTACGGGAGTTTGACCTTTTTCGATTGAGTATGTAGAGAATTCATTTATTTAATAGCGAGCAAGTGATCTTATAAACATTTGTAACTGTTAAAGGACTTGCATTTCGACAGTAATTGAAAGCGTCCAGTGTTTCACACATTTGCTGAGCCGCGTGGCAACGACCTCTAAAATTAGTTTTTCGCGATATCGTGGAAATTTCAAGTACGCCGTGCATTTTTCCCCAACGACAGTGTCAAAGTGTGAAAGTGCATTTTTAATTACCTCGTACACACAGTCATCGCACTCTCCAGGAAAACGTATTCGCGAAGAAACTTAACATCAGACACGATGAATGATTTTCAGGGATTCTTGGGGATACTTCGTGTGAGCGTCATAAGCGTGACGGTTTAACGAAGTTGAAAATAAGTAAGAAGAAGAAGAAGAGGACGATGCCGAGGAAATGAAGCAGCATCGTAGACGATGATAATGCATTTTTCTCTACCTTTCAGAAGACGCTTCTGTTTCTAGGGCCAACTTGACGTGGCCATTGGACGTCAATGACGCTCCTGGGTTATCATCGATTTATTTGAAAAATAAAAAGGAACAGTTTAAGGCAGAACTAAAGAAGACATTCAAATTTATTCTATATTCTACCATCCACAATTAATACCGACTCAAGGTTCTCAGGAATTTTTTCTTTTCAGGTAAGGTTAACCTCTATTCGGTTGATGCTACAGGACAATCTACAAGATATATTTATTCTGAAACTTACCCCATAAACCAGTCCACGGTATCGCGGAGATACTCGGGTAATCTATCCAGCTTGGATGATTTTCAAGTAGATCAACACCGGGAAAGCTTGCACTAAACGAAATATATCCTCTCGTACTAGCACTCAATCCGCAATCTCGTGAAATCTAACATGGCGAGGTTCTATTGTCACCTGTTCCCGTCATGCCTCGCTTGCAAAATAAGTCGTCTTTCACGAAACTGACGATCCTACAGTTGCCGCACGGTCTTTTTCTTGACTCGAGATTGGGCGATTCGTTTTTCCGAAAATTATGACGAGCGCGCGGACAACACTGAGAAAATTCACGAATGCGACGCTTAACGCGGTCGGAGCTACTTTAGAGCACAGCTGATCTAACGTTTCTCCTCGTACGGTCATTTCTACTTCATTGACCGACACCAGAGGGTACTATCTACCACGTACAGTCATATCTCTTCTAACGGAGAAACAGAATGTACCGTAGCGGATGAGTTTGAAACTAAAGTCGTGGTATCGATAAAAATGAAAATTTGTATAAATTATAAGTATTTAATAAATTAATATTTATTTTAGAATACGAAAGACTGGAGTATTCAGGAATTAAAATAAAACATTTTTTAATAACCAGTCACATATTGCTCTTAGGGTAATTTTCTTCAACTGTTTTACCCGCTGAAGGCTTACGGTTCTGTATTACCGATAGTACCTCTGTATCGACTGTCAAGGATGGCTTGCATACACAGGGTATCCATTTACATTACCCTATTTGAAGTTACCTAACACTCCAGTCAGGAGTTTGTAAGAAACTTTTATTTCTAAACTCCCCGTGAAAAATATTCTCGTTACGTGCACGGAATCGCTCCAGAAAGCCGAGGCTAGGAAAACACGCACGAAGGGTTAAAACACGCTCTTAGAGTTCGCAAGGGTCGATAAGTTACGTGAGCAGCCGGCTTTATAACTCGAGAAACATTTTGTGGATGTAAACGTCAAGTTTCCAACCATGAAAAGGCCCTCGGCGAGAATTACCCTTCCAGACGCCATTACACAATCAGAATGCAGACAGTTTTGTGAGTGTTGCGAAATGTATAACTTTTATATCGTACGTTCAAAAGACCCGATACCTGAATAAAACTCAACTATCATTCCCTCTGATGGAAACCACACAATTCAGTCGTAGAATAACCATTTTCTCTCTGTTCCACGTAAAATTCCAATTAGTGTAAAATCGCAAATGCACGTGTTCTCACATATCTCCAAGTTCCTGGCTGTAACGGTAAATCGTTAGATCGTTACAATCATGGAGATTTCCAGAATCATTTGTTCCACGAGGCGACTCGATATGCGCGGATTAAAGTGGATTTTCTGGTAACGTTAAGCGGTGGCGTGTAATAACGAATGAGTTTGTACGAGGCGATTGTAAATCGCCGAAATGCTGGCTCGCGTACTGATTGATATTTACCCTACAATTCGAAAAGTAATTTATTTCCATTCGCAGTGTGTACTGTAATGCTATATGCAGCGTCACGGTCCAGTACGGGACAAGCATGATTCAACGATTTACAGTATCGGCTTATGGTTTATGAGAGAATCAAACTGCAACTGGGAATTTCACGGAATTGCAATTGGAATTGCGACAAATCTAAAGGATCAACTGGCTTCCAAGTCCAGACGTCGGACCCCATGGTAACCGCAGTCGGGAATATTCGAAACTGTCATATGACAGTTGGTACGGTATATACCCATATGGTATATACCATATGGCTTTATCATATATCAAAGGTATTTTATACGCTTGTAAATTGATAATATGATATTACACGTAAATTAATTAAACTAAGATGCTCGAAATAATTGCATGAAATAACGTTACACGTAAAAGCGTTCTAGGCGTCGAAGTTACCTAAGAAACTTTGGTCGTTGCACTTTGAAAAGTTAGTCACGGAAGAAGAAAGCTATTCCTCGGATCGTCAAAGGGGGTTGGAGGAACAAGAGGAGTTGGGAACCAGTCGAGGTTGCAACCACCATTATTCTTCCTTCGCCAAGCCAGAAATTGGCTCGGTCTCAATTTTCGATTCTCTCGATATATATATATATACACACACGCACACGCATACATACGTTTTAACATTATATATAAACTGTACAACTTTTTACCATAAGACATTTTACCATCATCCATGGCTTTGACGTAACGTTAACATGCATAACAATTTTTATCAGTACTCTCACTTAATCTTCTGAAGAGGTTCGACGTTGCAATTGAAAAATCCTAGTTCTCCTTCAGGATTCGCGCAGCTAGAAGAGATTAATAGCGTCTTCAGTCCTCTCTCTCTCTCTTGCTATGCTAAATGCTACCATTATCTGTCTATCCATCTCTATACCGTTCCCTCTCGATGAGGAAATCAATAGGAATGAGAAAGACGAATGAGAGATTGATGGGATGCTGTGTGGTTAGCGTATAAAAGAAACGGGTATAATAAACAAAAATGTGGGGTTTGCCAAAACGGTGGATACGGCGTTGGGGATACGGGGAAAAGAAAGTAATAAGGAAAAAGGGATAAGTGAAAAGAGAAATTTCTCAACGACGCTTTAGGGAGCCAATTTACGTTTATGGATGAATTTTATTCTATATCTGTCACAATGACGAAATTACTTTCGGCCTTCTTGTAAACGTCTGCGTTCGCGCATGCGCAGAGGCGAGAAGAAGAAAAAAACCCATAAACCCAAGGACCAAGAGGGACGCGAAAGAATAGATATATTATTGCTCTCGATTTTCACGGCCATAGAAGCCAGTATGGGACCCGCCAAAAATTTTTCAATTGTGACAGTCTCCATCTTTCCCTCGCTTTTCTTTTTCATCCCCTAAGTAAACGTTCGTGATTTTTCACAGACTCTTCGCCGCAGATCATCCCCTTCTGCCAGACCAATGTTTCTTTTACCCGTCTATATTAGTATAATAAATTTTATTTTTACTACCCTAATCGCACTCGCTCACCCTCGAATCCTTTCTTACGCTCGGGACACGTACAAAGGGAGAAAGTAAGTTCAATTAATCTCACGTATAAATTTCGTTACATGTCACTGACTGCGCTGCGTCATTTCCTACATGGTCGCCGTTCTGTCTCGTATACTTTTCTCTACTGCGAGACTTCGCGTCTACGTATCTTATACCTACCGCGATGCCATCTGGAAAACCGGTAACGATCCATTCTCCTAGGAAGGAGGTAATGGTCAGGACGATGCCGGTCTTGGAAGTGCACGATTTTACAACCCACATTACTACAGTACACTCGAGGAGGATATCCGTAGAGACGCGTTATTTAGTAGAAGGAAAAGAGGTATAAATAGGGGAAAAAAGGGATAACGTGGAATTCAAAAAAGTAAATGGTCGATATGGGAACTCTAGTTTTAGTAAAGAACCGGAGTAAAGTATCACTGATTCCCAAGTGGATTTATGCAGCGATACGACAAAAAAAAAAAAAATAGGAAAAATAAATATAATGAAGGAAAACACGAATAAGATATATGAAGACGTGATATCTGATGTAAGGAAAAAAAAAAAAAGTGTAAATAGGTAAAAAAATTGATATTAAAAAAAGGTGTTTTTAGTAAACAACTAAATAAATCACAAATTGTCGTACAAGTCGAAATTGACCGATTGAACAATTACAGGAATGACTTTAATGTGTGTTAAGATTTTCTAATGGTACCTAATTACGTTTCGAGAACTCCTTGATTACTGCGCACGAGTATAAATTTACGAGTGATCGTCTCGAGTCATTCGAAAGTCACACCTTAGCTAATTGCCTTCCAGACTCGAGTCAGTAAGACGTACATTTGCTATCGTGTGGTAACGGATGATAACTAGTCAGTCAATGATGATTGATGATACAAGCTCGTAAATACCGTTACCGACTCGTACAAAAGGAAGTGAAGCTACCAGGAGGATAATAACGTACAACTCACTCTGGAGCAGCCTGCAATTATTTGTGTAAAAAAAAAAAAACAAGAATTTCTAATTTTAAATTTGTCCGACTAATTCAAAGACGCTGTACCTATAACGTAGAAAAAGGAAAATTTAACGAGCTGCTGATTTTTAATCGTCCGGATTCACAGTGTTTACTGCTATATATAAAATTTGATATCTATACTATATTCATGGTAACTACTGTATATATAATGGACAGGAAATATATATATGTATACTCCTTTTGCACAGAGGTTAATGTATTCCAAGGGTAATCATTGCGCTGCCTTGTTGTATGTAAATCTAAGCCTGAGGTAGAAATGGATCGTCATTCGGTAGGAGAATTGTATTGGCGTCCCATCATCCCTTAGAATTGATTTTACCCCTGCCAGTCGAATTCGATTTCGTGGGGAGTATTAAGATTTTTTTTTTTCACTTGCAAAGCTTGGATCTGTCAGAATTGGGTAGTCGAGTGAATAAGGG